AAGGCGAGATGCTGGGAACTGACCTGTACCCGCCCTGTATCCTGAAGCAGAGCTTTCCTGGGCTGCTTTCAGCTCTGTGAGAAAAACAAATAAACATTTGCTGTTGTAAGCCACTACAATTTTTAGAATTTCTGAACTTCCTCTACTGGCCTCATTGTGGATATGCACAAGCAGAATTATACCAAGTGTTACTTCTGATCTGTGTGCGTGGACTTCAGTGTCTGCTTGCTAGTTAAGTCGCCATGACTCTCAATCAAATCCACTGACTGTTCCAAAGTACAGTAATTTGTAAGTATGCATAATTTGAACTTTCAAAGCTAAATTCAGGTCTAAAACATATAAAGTGTTCTAGAACTTGGAGAAATATCAAATGACTGTTACAGGGAGAAGAAACTCTGGAGTGGTCCAGGAGCCCACGATCTCTGAGTTCTATTCACCTCGGTCTAGTGGTGGGCGTCTCAGATTGTGTGGCACGGACATCGTACAGGACGAGAATGCAATGTCAGAAGTCCAGTTCTAGTCCAGCCTACTTCCTGAGACATCTTGGCATTTAACTTATTTGAGTGATCACACCAGACGGAGCCCCTTGAAAGCTCTAGAGTGTAATACAAATGTCAGATACACTAGTTCTCGTCATCAAATCTTCTCAGAGGGGGTTTTGCTGTGAAGAAATGTCCTGCCTGTGTTGTGAGTGTTGTGGCCGTCACTCATCCCAGTGTGCGTTTCCGGATCAGGAGCTGTGCTTCCTGAGTTCTGCTTCCCAGTTATTTTCTAAGTATGAGTGTGTTTTTTGTCCTTTATTCCACCTGGCATGTTGCTTGATTGATCTTACAGAATCTTTTTTTCACTTTCTCATCTGTTTCAGAGTGAGAAGAACCAAGCTTGGGTTTTCCTATCATGGACAAAAAAGGTTTCAACCTGTCAATTATTTGATATTTAGATAGGTAGAAACATTTCTAAATTGAGGAGTGCAGAACATTAAGAGATTTTTGATTATTGGAAAGGATTTCAGTGTTAGAGAGTCTCATCTCAGTCTTCATAAATCTCTCACCTTGTCATCATTTATGGGTACATGTTAATTTCCCTACTTGTCTTTATCTCCATATGCTGCCTGCTTATAGGGTGAGCCCTGTCCCATTCCCTACTTAGGACATTACTACTGTGAATACTCTGACATCAACTTACATGTTTGCTTGTGTACTCCTGCCTGTCATTAATAATAGTGACAACAACAACAAGAAGTAACTTAGTGATTAAAAGTACAAGCTTTGCAATCAGATTGCTCTTCTTCAAATTATAGCTTTGCTTCTTAGCAGCTGTGTGAGCTCGATATCTTGGTGCCTCAGTTTCACCATCTGTAAAATGGTAGTAATGATAGTGTATCTACCTTACAAGATTGTTTCAAGGAGTAAATGAGCTAATACATGTAACATGTGCATAGTTCGTTTTTCCATCAGCTGTCCATTAAAATGAAAGATGATCAAACACATGGAATATTGAGCTGAGTCCCCAGAAAGGTATTGGCTCAGCAGTAGGGCAAAATGTACACTAAAGGCATTTTGAGTTCACAAAAGAAAATAAAAATCAACTTCAAAGAATCAAACTAATTCCCAGTAATGGAACTGCATTTCTGAACAAAGTCCCTAAATATTGAAAATTACACAAACTACAACAACAGAAAACTCCAAACCATCCAAGCCAGCAGCATGTAACTCAAAATGTCTGGAATCCTCTCTGCAATCCAATAAAAAAAAACTACCAGCTGTGTAAATAAACAGGAGAATTTTATCCATAGCTAGAAGAAAAATTATTCTATAGAAATATATCTATAAATGACAAGAATGAAGATTGATGGAAGTAGTAGACAAGGATGTTAAAACATTTATTACAAGTATGTATGTTTAAGAAAGAAAAGAAAAACATGAGCAAGTCAAAGGGAGATATGGAAGATATAAAGAAGACTCAAATTGAACTTCTAAAGGTGGAACTTACATTGTCTAAAGTGAAAATTACACTGGATAGGTTAATTGAAGATAAGACATTGCAGAAGAAGAGATTAGTGAATTTGAAAATACACCAATAGAAATTATTCAAAGTGCTAAATTCCCAGAGGAA